GGGTACAATTAAGAACTTGCGTTTTCCGCTCTCGCCACCCTCCACGCGGGGTAGCACACCAAAGGCCCTAGCAGCCTCCACGGTTACTGCCGGTTACCCGGACCCCATCACGCCATCCCATAAACAACCTATGGACTATGACCATTGGCCTGCGACGGCGGCTCTAAACCTAGCCTACGAACGGCCCTTACATTTAACACCCAGCTCGGATATGTGTAAAATAGGTACGGTAGAATCATCGCTTGAATACTTGATAGAGAATAAAGAAATGAAAGCATAGATTCATATGACTTCTACTACGAACGAATAACTACGAAGTAGAATAGTAACGACTTCTACGAACTAGGAACCACGACCTACGAACACCCGGGTCGAACCCAAGGCTAAGCTCCTCACGAGGGATACGTGGTAGCGGTCCTATCCTCCATCTCAGACGTCTATGCCCCTCCATCCCTCCATCTGCCTGACGTGTGGAGACTAGAACGGCGTCGTACGACGTCCAGCACGACTATGACGGAAGAGCGTACAGCGTAACGGAAAGTCTCGGCGTGGTCAACGTGAAGACTGAACGGACGAGAGAGTACGTGCTTTTCTGTCTGCTTCCACATTCTTCGACCGGACGAGAACACGGGGACCTGCGCACGCTCTTCCATGCCCGACCCTTTGAAAAATTGTGTGGAGGTCACGACACACTAGCTAGGATCCGAAATTCATGATAAGAACGAACAGCACAGAAAAAATTGCGTTTGTGTTGGTAAACAATTCGGAAAACCGCAAGGACTGTTAGGTGATCAAATTCCCGTCTTACATTCGTTAAAGGCAAAGGTCGGGATTAGTTGACCAAACCAACCCTTTCGGTCATGCCTGTACTTGGTTACGCACCCGTAGAGATGTTCCCACACTCAAAACCCGAAACGGTAATAAGGCCCCAGGGCATGTACTATGCGCTATCGCCGCCTGGCCCCGCTACGACCGCCCACCTTGGGATGTGGTGCATGGCTGGCATAACGTGTGAAATCAGCTAGGTTGATTGCCGTATCAACCGATAGAACGACTGATATCTTCAGAAAACTTGTTTGTACGTGCCTCTTCCCAAGCCAGCCTCCTTCACTGCTAGTGGGAAGAGGGTTTTGTTAACGGCCTTGTTTTTCTCAGTTTTTTCTCCACTGTCGTTCTACTTCGCATTTCTGTACTCAGAAACGTGTTGTCTTATTCTCCAAACTCGAGCGCCTCAACACGATTAATTAAACGTCGCAAGGAACTTCTTCGAATTTTTCACCTCGAAGCTCAGGAAACTCAGGATTTCTAGACCAATCGTAACCACAAGTTGCCTTCTAAAAGGCAACATCTTGAACAATGGTGGTGCATTAATTTTCTCTGTTTTCAAAAAAAGGGAAAATAAATTCGAAGATCAAATGTAAAATGTGCAGACATTCCAACAACTTAAATTTTGTGGAACTTCGAAGGGTTCTAATTGTGGAAATAGGTGTCGCCTTTTTTTTTTTTGAAGGATTTTTTTGATTAATTTTCATTGGGATTGGCACGAAGATTCAGCGCAATTAAACGAGATGAAGCATTTATTGTTTACCGCAGTTATAGCCAGGGTCAAGCGAGGCGTCGAGGAAAATTCGGAAATACGACCCCCCCCCTCTGCCGAAGGCCGAAGTCCATGAAACAACCCTCTTTAAAAGCCGAACTATGAAAAAGTTGTTTAATTCTCCACCAAAACTGCTCATAAAAAAGCCCTGCTACCCCATCGTCCACAAAAAAACTCGTTTAAAAAGTATAAAAGTGAAAAAGTCAAAGAATGATCATTAATGACGAGTCCTGTCAAACGAGCAAACGAGAAACGGAGCAAAAAACGTCAAACTAGTCACTAGAAATGGCGTACTATGACAACACCTCTTCTTTGTTTATTTCCTCCACAAGACTTACCAAATTCTAGTACTACACAGATTATGGTTCTCAATTTACACGTCCCCCTTTCGCTCAAAGGAAGCCTTGTAAAAGCCTTCGCCAGCTGTGTGTTGACTGGACTTTGGCGTTGACCGTGGAGCAGCTTATTTACTATTGAAATTTGAAAAATATTCAAATGATTATAACTTTCTTCAAAGTTAACGAATTTTCAATCTGAAAGCTGATTTGGGAGTTTTGTGAAGAGCTTTTTCTAATCAGTACTGAAATTACAGGAAGTTATAAGAAATAACAAATTTAGATCAAATAACGAGGAAAATTCGAGACGAGCACGAGTTTTTACACTTTCCGGAGCAATAACTTGCTTCATTTCCGTCAAATTCAAAAAGTTGATACGTCATACAAAACTAGAAGATTTTCTCTATCAAACGGTCGCTAAAGCAGCTTCATACGTCCAGTACTCAAAAAATGGCCACGTTGAGGATTTTTGCAAAATTAACGAGGAAAATTCGTGATGAGTGCGAGTTTTTACGCTTTCCAAAGCCATAACTCCGTTCAAACTCATGCAATCTGGAAAGTTAATACGTCATCATAAACTAGAAGATTTGCTCTTTCTATAGGCAACTAAAACTGCTAAATACGTTCACTATTTAAAAAATGGCCACGTTGAGGATTTTTGCCCGAGTACCGCCGAAAGGTACTTTTTCGCTACATTAGCACTATCCCAACGACTATAGCTCCTTGCAGGAGCGATTACATACTGAAGTAGGAGCAGATTCAAAATCCTCGTGCTTTTCTCTCTGCAAAAAGTGTAAAATTGTTTAGCGGGTCTCAACTTTAAAGGTTACATGCTTGTGAATTTGACGCTGAAGGCTGCGTTTCTTGTTGAATAGTGTACTCCTCTCTGTAATTTAACATGAACTCTTTCAGAACCCTCTTGATTCTTCCTGAATTAAGATTCGTTATCAAGATAGCCGTAGCTGAAGCGCGCGCAACCAACTGGGCCCACTCTGGGATGCGCCGTGTGCTTCACATCTCGTTGGATTTGAGGACCTACTTGAAAGATAAAATATCCCTAGAAAACGTGCGAATTTCGGATCCTTTGACTTGTGTGGTGATGAAACACTAAAGTCACTAAGAATTGCTAAGCGGACACCTCTAAATCACGAAGATTTTGTGTGGACGGAATCAATTGTTATTGGAAATACTCTGGCCTGGTATCGATTCGATCCTTAATGTTTGTCCTCCGACGATGATCCTACTGTATCAATCGGGCCCGATCTCTCCCCAGCGGGCCAATACGACCCCCCCTCTGTGACATGTCGAGGATTCCTCAACGCACGCTTGACCCTGGTTAGCTTCCGCCCGCTACCGCGCGCATGACACGGAAGCCTCTGACAAAACTGACAATCGGTGAAGCTTTGGGTTTCACCGCTTAACTATAGCTGCTTCGTTAAATGCATTACTGTCCGTTGCCCATCTTGGCTGTATCTCACTGTTTGATAAGCGCAGTGAAGTGCACAGCTAAAGTGATGTATGTAAACAACCACCATGCATCGAGAATCGAGGAAATTTAGCGGTCGAATAATTTTTGGTAATCTCAAGACGGAATGCCCAGTATTCACTATCAAATTTATTAGAGCATCCCATTCATCCTCAAGAACTCTAGAAGGTGTAGCGGTTGAAAGGTGTTTGAATTTACAATTATAACGCTAATGAAATGATATTGAAATGAAATGCATTATCTGCAATCTGGTTTCGAGTAATCTCTACGTTCGTACGCATATCGTAATTATCAGTCCTCATCTGTCGTTATCACTTTTTTGACCCCCACAAAATATGTTACCGTCCCACCCCCATATCATGTCCCAAAATCAGTTCCTGACGACTGCTGCGAAGCGCACTATGAATTTTGTGAAAATTGTGTTTCAGCGCCTCTCAATTGCTCATATCAGTCGTTATCACTTTGTGACCCCCACCAAATATGTTCCCGTCCCACCCCCTATATCATATCTTGAAACCAACTCCTGACGACCACTGGTGCCCGAGCTATGAATTTCGCGACACTTGCGTTCTAGCGCCTTTTATCAGCCCTTATCAGTTGTGATCACTTTCTTTACCCCACCAAATATGTTCCCGTCCCACCCCCTATATCATATCTTGAAACCAACTCCTGACGACCACTGGTGCCCGAGCTATGAATTTCGCGACACTTGCGTTCTAGCGCCTTTTATCAGCCCTTATCAGTTGTTATCACTTTCTTTACCCCACCAAATATGTTCCCGTCCCACCCCCTATATCATATCTTGAAACCAACTCCTGACGACCACTGGTGCCCGAGCTATGAATTTCCGGTCAGACAGACAAACACATACACACACACAGACACACACACGCACAACCGCTTAGCCGATTATATATAGTAGGATCATACGTATTTATACTCCACTCATAAGCACGAACTCTAGATGGATTCATGCTTTTTTGCTACCGGAAGTAATCAAACCCTTTACAGTTGTGAGACATATGAAGTATCGCTGAAGCAACAACTCATTTTGGAAAGCCGCTATGAGGGACCAACTTCGTGCGCTCCGCCATTTTGTGCCCTCCACCCACATGCTACTCGTGGAGACCCCGTGATTAACTGCGCCGCCCTTGCACGATTGCGAATAAATTGTCGCCACTTTAGAAGAAATGCTGCCTGTTTTGATTGTTTCAGTCGCTTATTGCTAGATCGTTACATTATCGTATTTCCTTGTTCGTATTTGTGCATATGTATGTCTCTGTATGTATTGGTGCATGTGCGATTGCAGCCCACGGAGTCAGCAAGAAATTGCCGATGGAGCAAGCTACAATAGTTCGGACGGCTCTCCGGCCTCCATCCTACTTATTCCAAGGAAGAAGAGGGAAAGTCGTCTTATAGGAGCTTCATCGGCGGTTTTCTTTGTTTCTTTTTTTCCACAACTCGGCACCCACAATTTCATTACCGACCGCTTTTATCAGACAATCCGATCTAGGGTCGCTGCTTTAATGGGTGATCCCTTTCACGTGCGGTAATTAGTGTCGACTGGGAACTCTTCTATTATATGATGGTAGAGGAAGAGATCGTGAAAGTCCTGAAATGGGTGTGCACAACGAATCATTACTTAACCTGCAGTGTTCTGACTGCTGAAATCCTTAGGTGCTTAGGGCACTCAGCTCTCGCTTTGTGTTTGACTCATATCAAGTTTAAGAATGAGCTTTTTTTAGAAGAAGGCCAAGAAAAAGAAAGAGGAATTCGCGAAGTCAATGAAAGTAATGAAGGCGAAACAGCAGGATGGCGTACGTTTGGATGATCATTGGTTAATCCTTTGTCCTTCGGTGAAATGTAACACACCATGGTTCTTTCAGATAAGAAAAGCACTGGAGGATTACTTGGCCGCTCAAACACAAACGATGACTGTAGAAGACTCGGAAAGGGTCGTTGAAATGCCATCGAAAAGTCAATCACAAACAGCGCTCAGCTCTAAAACGTCAGAATCCTTACAAAAGGCGTCAATCAGTGGAACAACAACCTATTCCGCTGCATCTACCCCTGTTCCAAGGAATCTCGGCCAAATGCCGATGGAGAAGCTATAAGGGGGTGACGACCAATTGAAGACAAGAGGATAATTTTAAACAAAGTAGTTAAGCATTTCAAACAGTCAGTTAACCATTGTTTCACACTGAGCAGGAATTAACTCATTTATTTGATGGCTAAATTGTGTAGATCAATAAAATCAGTGATTTAAAAGTTCCGGTGTTCTTGATTTTTTCCAATCAAAAATTCAAAAATAAAACATGAAGATGTCAATCGTTTCACAAGATCGGTGTTCTTCGAATAGTAGTCTCGTCTACCGTCGAGTAGCAAACTTTAAACTGTCCTAGGAATCCGAAGTTATTGTTCTGAACTTTCTGATGGGCTCAGACATCCCGTTGTTAGGTCATCTTGGCCAGTTGAAATGAAGTGTGCATAAAGTAGCGACTAAAAATCAATTGACAAGCGTTTTTGAAGTTTCCTTTGCTGAAAATCACGGAACCGTCTCGAAAATTGCAGCAGTTATTTAATAGGAGTTCTCTAAACCACACAAAATATGAACCCCCAGCTCTAGACCCAAATATGAACCTTGATTAATAAACTCATCCTAACGAGGCATTTTCTTCCATTTCCTCCTGGATAGAACCGGATTTTACTTATGTCGTGGTTCTTTTCACCAGGCGAAATGCAGCTCGTCCCTCATTGGTTCCGTGATG